TCTTATATAATTTCTGGTTGTTGGATTTTTTTAGTTTTTGTCTAGTTCTAGCTATACTGAATGATATGTTTTATAGTTTTATTGTTAGGGTCGTTTGTTGGCATATTTATGATACGCACTGTAATAGAAATTGTAAGCATATGTATTTGCTTAAATGCCAAAACAATGCACCCACCCACACTGTGACCCGTCTCTCCTGTCGCCTGTATTTCTCTCTCTGTCTCTCTTACCTTCTACTCTCAAATCAGCCGGCTTTTCTTATCAGCTGTTCACTCTTCTTTCTTCTGTATTTATCGCACTTGGAATTGTGTGCCGTGTCAATGTTTGTTTTCAATGCGTCGCTGCCTGCAGTAAAAGCTCTTGCTATAAATATATACATATATAATTATATAGTATATATAGACGCGCCTTCGCTTTGATATGGCTGGCGGCTCGAGCAGCTGTCACTGGCTCCCTGACTTTCAGATACTTTTTGGCGCTCGCCTTGAACGGATGTCGTGTGTGTCTCCTACAAAAAACAAAAAAAAAATTAAAAACAGCTGTAAAAAAAATCAACAAAACATATTAAGTGAGACACAATAAAAACACGCTCGAGTTCTGTCCCTAACTCTGACTCCGTACAAAAACAAAAAGAAACACGTGCTCCCTCCCAACACCGCTCCAACACCAGTTCTGCTTACAAATAAACAAAAACACATCGAAGTGCAATATAACTAAGTGATCTCTCCTTCACTCCAACACCGTCTCTTCAACCAAGTGAAAGACTAGCAAGTACTCTCTCTCCCCCTTACTCTAGCAGTATTTCTTCAAACGAAGAGCGCGCGATCTCCCTCTTTCTCTTCGTTACTGTTTTGTTTAAGTATTGTAGTGTTAACATCGTGATTGGCTCTTATCACTGTTATCAATAATTGCAACAACAAGGTAAACTTAAAGACTGCAACATACAACTTCTTTAAAATACAACTTGATTAATCAGTCTGCCTCTATAATTAAAACTGATAAATAATACTAAGAATTTATGATAGAAAGCTTAGAGTGCATACATATACATATATAATCTATGTACTTATACAGTCCCTACATCTTTACTTATAAATCTAAATGACGAAACGATTAGACGGCCAAATCGCATATATGTTTGTATATAGGAAAATTACCCTATTCGTATATATAGAAAGAGAACTCCGAGTGACATTGACTCGAACTTGGACTCTGCGATCAGCTACATCACGAAAAGCATTAAAAAATTACGGTTTACTTACACATATACATATGTATGTATCTGCATGTATGTACATATGTACATATAGCTTGAAATGTGCTCGTGTAAATAATTGACATCACTCGATCATTATTTGTCTCTTATCTATTTACTCTCTGGACTCTGCCAACGACAAATTTTAAACAAAAACCCAAAAAGCTTCTACAAATTTATAGATAACAATTGTTTTACAATACATACATGTATTTATAATATATACATGTATCTTTGTATGAATATGTGTATTTGTGTCAGTACTTTGTAGAGGGCTCGACCGTTCAACCAACAAAGCTTTGGGGCTTGGCTCCAATTTGCAAGGGGTACAAAGTCAACCGCAAAAATAACAAAATAAATAGACTTTTGTTTCGCATGTGAAAAATAAATGCTCTCTTGGAAACAGCTAAGAGTTCTGCCTTAAAGGTTAAACGATCGTTGACTGTCCGAAAGCAAGATCCTATTACAGATAAGATCATATTGTATAGAAGATATTCGAGTAAAGTCTCAATAAATGCAATTGAATATCGGGTTTGTAATATCATTTGTTTAATTTATGCAAGGCTGTGTCAGACATATCAAATGTATACGAGTTTTATTAAAAACGTATCTCGATTTGCGATTTGTTACGTATATTCGAATTAGTACCTAAGTCCCTCAATTATATTGACAAGTTTAGGTATTTGATTATGTAACAATGAGTACATTTCGGATAAGCAAAATAGAAATGTTTTTCGAGAAAAAAATAAAAAGAATTCGCCTAACTTTTTGAACAGACCTCGTATATACTTCAATATAAGAAATATGATCATCAATGACAGTTTTATTAGCGATCGCTGACCCCAAACAATTAAATATACATATATATAATCTTCCCAGTCGATCTACACGTGTCTATCGGCTCATCCGAACGTGAATCCATCTCGACTAAATCTATATCAAACGAATGTAATTATTTCTCAACCCTCTTATCAAATGATAAGCCGTATGTACTGAAATTTAATTAGTAAATGAGAAAAAGGAAAGATCAGATCGCATTCGCATGAGTGTATTTTGCCTGTGTTCCCTATCAACATTGTCGCCATGTATATTTTCATTATCGTGAGCTAATAATAGTTTGATTTCCGCATTATACCGCATTATTCCGATGCCTAATCGAGGCTAATTCTTTTTTCATTTTACAGCCAGCATGACGGAGGGGAAGAACGTACCGAATTCGAGTGCCGATGTGCCATTTCGCAGCAAAGAGCTGCGCAAGCAGTCCCTGATCCAACACACAGGCCTGGTCGGTGTCATCGATGAGGGCACCAAGACCATTGGCTTCTCGATCTATACGACGCCCGATTTCAAGGAAATCGCCGCACATCGTGTTGAATTGGGTGTAATATCATCGCAGGATGGCTGGTATGAGCAGGATCCGTTGGAGATGATGGCATCGATAAACAAGTGCGCCGAGGAGGCAATCAAACAGCTTCCAGAACTTGGCTTCAGCTCCAGCGACATTATCACAGTCGGCATTACCAATCAGCGAGAGACGACTATCGTGTGGGATGCTGTCACCGGCAAGCCGCTCTACAATGCCATCGTGTGGAAGGATATACGCACGAGCAGCACTGTCGAACAGATTGTGGCCAAGGTTCAGGATCCGAACTATTTCAAAAGACGAACTGGATTGCCTATATCAACGTATTTCTCCGCCCTGAAGATACGCTGGCTGAAGGACAATGTGCCCGAGGTGCGGCAAGCGTGTCGCGAGAAGCGCTGCAAGGCTGGCACAGTCGATAGCTGGATCATATGGAATCTAACGAATGGTAAGCATTCATACGTATAAGACAGAGTGGCTTAGGTATATTATAGATTCTATCCGGGTTATATCTATGCATAGAGAAGTGAATAAATCCGGGCTTCCATCTCTCTGTCCTTCCGTCCATTATTCTTTCTTACAAATAGATCTCTTGCTCTTATGCCAATTAAGTCGAGAACTTCTCACAATATTCATTTAGAAATTAAATAATCGAGATCCTTCTCTCACTTAGGTGCTCTACACATTACGGATGTGACAAATGCTTCACGCACGTTGCTCATGAATCTGGAAACCCAAAACTGGGATCCGGTGTTGCTGAAAACCTTTGCCATTCGGGAGGAAATGCTGCCCAGCATACACAGCTGCTCGGAGGTCTTTGGTAAGATCACCTCGGAGAGGAGTGCCCTACGCGGCATCACATTGAGCGGAATATTGGGCAATCAGCAGGCCTCGCTGTTGGGGCAGATGTGCGTCAAGCCCGGCCAGACAAAGAATACATATCGTTCCGGCTGTTTTCTACTCTGCAATACGGGCGACAAGCCCGTCTTCTCCAGCCATGGACTGTTGACAACGGTTGCCTATAAGCTAGGACCACAGGCACCAACGATATATGCTCTGGAGGGTTCGGTCTCAGTGGCCGGCCATGCTCTGTCCTGGTTGCAGCAGAAGGTGCGACTGCTGCCCGATTCGCGAGATGCTGAGAAATATGCCGAAGCGGTGCCCACGGCGGGTGATGTTTACTTCGTGCCGGCGTTTACGGGTCTGTATGCGCCCTATTGGCGGCAGAATGCTCGCGGCATTATCATTGGATTGACGCAGTTCACGCGAAAGAATCATATTGTGCGCGCTGCCCTGGAGAGCATTTGCTTCCAGACCCGCGACATATTGGAGTGCATGCATCAGGAGTGCGGCTACGACATAAACAAACTCCATGCGGACGGCAAGTTGACTACAAACAATCTGCTGATGCAGCTCCAAGCCGACACAGCCGGTCTGCCCCTCTTTCGATCCCAGCTGATGGACTCGACGGCCTTCGGAGCGGCCATGTGTGCCGCCCAGGCCGAAGGCATCGGTCTGTGTAAATTTGAGCCGGAGAAGCGTTACTACGAGAACGTCCATTACGACACCTTTCTGCCGACCACCACGGAACAGGAGCGCGAAGAGCGGTACGGCAAGTGGAAGCGTGCCGTGGAACGCAGCCTGGGCTGGGTCATCAAGCAGAAGAAGACGCGCACCCACACCGAAGAGAACTATCGCATGTTATCCTCATTGCCAGCGAGCATCTTCCTTATCAGCACTTTTGCCATGCTCGTCCATTCCCTATCAGCAACTGTGAAGTCATAAATGACAAAAAACAAAAACAAAATGTGTATTTGGTTTTACAACCTTAAGACTCATTGAAAATGTGTGAAAAAAATTTGGGTATATTGTATTTGTGGAAATGTATGTGAAAGCAAGTAGAATAATAATTCCATAGAGTCTATATGTATTTTTGCTTAGAGCTGATATGTCCGTATGTTTGAACGCATCAATCTTGGCGAATACAAAAGCTAGGGTATAGATATTTGATTTATAAATAAGTTTAACATTATTTGTCGATAACCTATGACAATAACTTAATATTGGGTAAAAAAAAATGACTGCTCAACGTGAATTTAAATTATGTATTATATTATTATTTTTATAATAATATTATTATGATTATAAAAGCTAGAGACTCAAAGTTGTAATGCACAATTATGACAGATTTATTAGAAATCGGATGATCTTCGACATTTCCTAATATACACACAAACAAATACTAATGCCCTGTAAGTCTTAAGGTATCTGCTAGTCGAGCACTGCCGACTATTTAGTATGTTCTTTTAAAGCCGATGCCATAGCAGCTTTATAGAGTCCCATTATCGGTTGTGATAATTATTATTTAATTAGTGGACCTAACGATCCCATGTATATAACTATGTTTGTAGCTTTTCTTGTCTGGAATGCTTGAAAAGTCTTCAGTAGCTTTGGCTTTAAATTAATATATATAACATACATATATGTAAATAGTTTGTGTTCTCACTCACTCTCTGCCTGATTGTGTTTAGCTAGTAATATGTACATATATAATTCGTGTACTTATCTTATCGCTCTACAAGCTATACTAGGCGCTAGCTTCAAATGTTTGATAAATCGAAAAAGTTCATCGATTACCCACACAAAAACCCAAATATTTATATCACCTAATTGTACATACATATAGATAAACATTCATACTATATACATAGATATATATTTAACCAGAGCGCAAATGACATTTGTATATTACCTAATATTTAATATATAACTATGTATGATAGACGTTTGTCTAGTTTATAGGCTATACAAATATACGATTCAAAATGATAAATGACTATTCTTTATGTTCTTGATTGGATTCTTTTATTATACATATATGATATTTGATCAGAAATGAGGTTTTGTGTAATGATTTTAAATCGTATCTTAAGTGTATATAGGTTATATAACAATAATGTTAAAGACCGTCTAATTGTCTACGATATGCGCTCGTACGCACATCATATATTTATCAACGTACTTGAAATGTAGAACATTATCAGTGGCGGAAATGTCCATATCGCTTAAAAATAACTATAATAATCTACCGATTATTAGAGGCGTATGCCTCCACTACGCTAGAACTGACGCTATAAAGAATGTTATGGTCTTTGGGTGTGTCCAGAAGAGAGCAAAGGTTTTAGATTGGAATTTGATTAGGAATCAATGTGTATTAAAAGATGTAGGGAATATTTTGATCATTTTTCAATTTACGCATATACTATGTACATGCCTCAAATGTCAAATGATCAAGGGATATGTAAATAACATAATTAATTCCATCTTTAGTTGATTACGTGACTCAATTTCCCTTTTAGTCGAATTCTCCTCTTATCCTAACCCATTTCGAGTTATCCTTTTTAGTCAGTTATGCCTGTAGTGTAAGCCGCTGTTCATTTAAATTGGTTCTACAGGTTGCCTTACACACACACACGCACACTCGCCTATACACATAAGTGGCACTATGCTGCAACAACAACATCGAGTTCTTTTGCCTTTGCTCAGGTAARAAGACCCAAATAACAACAACAACATAAAAAGGCCAAACAAAGAAATTGATTTTCACTGCTTTGCTCTGTTTTGGGCTACACCTTCAGAATTTTTACTGAATCAGTGTATAACAGCAGCAGCAGCAACAACAACAAGAAGAACCGGAATTCGTTTGAAGTTGAAGCGCGCACCTTTTTCCCAACTTTTCTCTTCAGCTAGAGCAGAAATGATGGTATGTGTGTGTGTGTGTAGGAGTATGAAGTTGGTGCCCATAATGCGCTCTCGAGTCTGTCTGTAGGAATTTGGAGTTGCTCAAACAGCGTTGTAGAATGCTGTGTAGAGCTGCAAAGCTGCCGCTCAAATTGCGCTCTCTGATTTATGCGTGTGCGTGCGCTCTCCCTGATATATGCGTATATGAGAAGGTTATTGCTCAAATTGCGCTCACAAGATTGTGTGGGTGCGGGAGTGTGTGGAGTTATTGCTTAAAACTGCGCTCAATATGTGTGCGTGTGTTAGTGTGTATGTGTATAGAAGTGTAGAGATGTTGCTCAAACGGTGCGCTCTAGTGTGTAGTTATAACAACTTATGCTCAAAACTGCGTCCTCCCTCTCACATATGCGTGTGTGTGCGCGCGTGTAAAGGAGTGTGTTGCTATAATTGTATTCCGTTTCTTTCTATGAAGGTACGACTTCCACTTAAAGCAGCACTTGAACAAGTGTGGAACTATTGCTGCGCTCACTCCACGCTCTCTCTCTCTTTCTCTCTTTGGCTGTATACTGAATATTGGGTAATATTGAGTGCTTTCACAGCTCCTGTTTGAGCTGCGTTCTCTAATTCGTGAATGTATTGACTCATGCTCAAGCTGAGTTCTTTTTCTCTCCGCACTCAATGGCAATCCTCTCACGATCGCTAGCGAAAAGCCACAGTCATCGCTCAACTTTAGTCGCGTTCGTTTCGTTCCGCCGAGTTGTTGCGGTTTGAGTTGTCGTTGTTGTTGTTGTTGTTGCGCCTTTTTTGTTTATGTTAATTCGATCGTGTTCGCTATTTATTTATTTKGTTTGGATTATGCCGCATTGGCAATAAATTTTGGTCAATTTATTGTGCACGAAATTGAAATCGCAAAAGTTCCTTCCCACAGTCATCATGGACGGACATACCTGATACCTGTGTTTGTTTCTTTCTGAGAGTGGAAGGCATTTATTAAGCGTTTGCAGCTATAAAGGGTCAAACCGGTTTAGTTTAGCCAGTTGCCCAGTTATTCAGTCATGGATATTGCTGCGGACACAAGCACAGCTTCCATCTCGGCTTCCCTGCAACGTGTTGCTTCACAGTCGAGTCTCGTCCAGGCTGCAGCGCCTCATCATTATCATTATATACAATATCCGGCTCAATATCTGCAACAACAGCAGCAACAGCCGCAGCAGCAATGTCAGTGCCCCTGTTCCTGTGGAAGAGCCACAGCAATTCAGCAACAGCCGCCGCATCAGCAGCAGCCTCAGCATCAAAATGCTTCCATGGCTGTCGCGGTGCTCGTCCATCAGCAGACCTCAACGTCGACAGCCACATCGACACCTGTCCAGCAGGTGGGAGTGAAGGCTCAGTCGGCACAATCTCTGCTCAATCACTCCTACCAAGCCCTGCCCAACGAGGAAAATCACAATTTGCCCTTTGACAGCTCGACTCTCAGCTCTCCGCGCTGCGAATGTGATCTCGAGTGCAGCTGTGGTGCCAATAGCATCTCCGTCTCCATCTCGCAGCAGCAGCACAAGCGTAGCCTCCTCGCAGATGCGATGCTCGGCGCCGATGAGATAACGGTCAGTGAATCGGACAATAACAGCACCATGATYAAGAAGAAGAAGCCACGAAATGCGAACAACATAGCGGATCAGTTGCCAGCCAAGACGGACAGCTGCAATGACATCTACCATGACACGGAGCTCGAAGCGGGTGCAGCTGCGGCAGCTTCCTCTGCTGGTGGACGCGCCAAATCTCAAGGCTTGGATGATCATCGTCCGCCACTGCCGCCACGCCCACCTCCCAGGCCAAGGAGTAATGCCAACGGTTCCATTGGTGAGTAATGCATGGAAAATGTGCGAAGAAGAAGAACTGAGTCTTATAWGGTATAGGGTATCTTTCAGTCATATGTATTACATCCTTATTCGCTACTCTGTAGGTTATGGTTATCTTCTACTCATTCATGTTTACAGTAAGACTTTGAGTAATGCATTCACATACGAATATTCGTAGTTTCAAATCCTTTCCGTAAATAGCTATCCATGGCGAAATTCTAGCTCATCTCCTATCTTTTAGCTGATTATAGGTTATTTAATGGGCAGCCATTCACACATGAATTTTTATAGTTTACCATTTACTAGAACTGTCTCTACGTATCATCGTAGCCATATGAAAAAACAGCATCCGCTCGGGTAAAGCTACCTCATCTACGAGTTCGACGCCTGCGCAATCTCTCTCTATATCTCATTCTCTCTCATTCTCTTCGGAGTTCCCTTGGGAGACATCCGTGATTGCAGCGGGGTTGGTTGGTTGTTTGGCTTGGTAACTGTGTGAATGTCAGTACGGAATCGGAATTGGAATTGTAGTTGACATCGTTTCGCAACTGCAACGCACGCTCCGTCTGGGGCGCAGCTTCCGCGTCTCCCATTCGCCATCTCCCAGCAGTCAAAGTTCGCGCAGCTGCCCAGTTGAGGCATCTGAAACGGACTTGTGTGTAGATATTTTTTCGAGAAGTGAAGGAAAAAAAAAAAATATTCATCTATGTATACAAATAAAACGGCGTATATAGTATATATATACAGAATGCAAAACAAAATAAACGTTTAGGCAATTGCGAGATGCTAAAAGTGAAAGAGTTTTAAGAAAGTTTCGATTGAACAGCTGCAAGAGACGGGAGTAATCGACTAGCTAGTCAACATGCATGGCTATCCCGTGATGCAGTTCGTGCAGTATAGCATGCCCACGCCGTGCACCTGGGTGCCAGCGCCACCAACCGCAGCTGAAGCACATCATCATCGTGGCTCAATGGGTTAGAGGATTACTACAATAATTTCCAATGTGTTTATATATCTGAAACCCTTTTTCACTCTTCCTCTCTCTTTCTCTTTCTCTTTCTCTTTCTCTACTCAGCTCATCGTCCTGGTGCTGGCATTAAGAAGTATGTGGTGTGGTGCCTCATCTGCGGTGGCTTCAGCTGCCTCCTGGGCGTTCTCTTCCTGGGCGTCTACTTCTTGTTGCATTCGTATACCATAACCGTGGGCAACTTTGAAACTGTGCCCACTTTTGTGCCCGCCACACTGGTAAGTCGAAGCTGATTGATCCATCCAGATATCTATACGCATATATATTAACTTTACAGCTCATTCTGACGGGTGTTTGCATCATGAGTCTGGCGCGTCGTCGGAATCGTTATAGCTATTTGGTAAGTAGACGCTTGCTCAATCTTAATCCTATCTTCAATTTCCACTTTCTCACTCTACTAGATCAAGCTATCAGGTGCTTGTGGTTTAGTCTCGGCTTTAACCTGCGCCCTGGTCACCGTCACCACGACGGTGCTCCACATGAGCCGACTGCAGGCGTTGCGTGAATGCGAATACGCTCAGAAGACGCGCACCTGCACCTGCTACTCGGATCTGATTGAGTCCCAGGTGGATCGTGTGGACAAAGGTAAGAATGATATATACTCCATTTGGCAGTCCACTAACTCCAGCCCAATCTCTTTCAGAAGGTGTGCGTCTGGTCTTTGATTCGCTCTCCGACTGTGGAGTCGTCCATGGCTCGCTCTACTCGTGTCTGCGCGCCATTTTTGGACTCTCTGTGGCTGGAGTCCTGATTGCCGTGTTCAGCTGCATGCTGGTCTATCAGCTGCTCAGCCATGAGCGCAAGAAGATGTACTGGGAGCAGCTGGAGCTGCGCTGTCGTTCGTTGTATGCCACACAGGCACCGCCTCCGCCCCATAGTCTAAGTGCACCGGGGCGCATGCTCAATTGTCGTTGCTGTGAGCAGTGCCACGCCCATCGGCAACTGACAAACTCCTATCCCTGGGATGAGGCCAGCGCAGCTGCCGCAGCAGCAGCCGTAGCAGCAGGAGCAGGAGTTGGTCCTGGCGCGGAGCAACGTTTCTGGACCGCGCAGCCACCGGGGAACTTTTACTCACCCAATCCGGGTGGCGGCGGCGAGGAAGCACTCAGTGGCTGTCGCAATGGGCGCAGCGGCTGGAGCTGGCCGCGAATGCCTTGGCAACGCACAACGCCGGATGCGACACGTAGATTTCGACAAGCCGCAGCCAGTCCGGACTCGCAATATGGATTCAGTTCAGCGACAGCTGTAGCCGATGGCAATCAGATGTTGATTGAGGAACCTGTGGTGGCATTGGCTACATTGCCCTACGGCGTCTGGGGTCCTCCACCGCCGTACAGTGATCCCAATAGTCCAGCTAGACGGGGGTACTATCAATATCTTCAAGCGGTCAATCCCGCCATGCCACAGCAGTTGCAGCAGCATCAACAACAGCAGCAGCAGCAACAGCAACAGTTGCAGTTGCAACAGGAGCAGCAAATGCCTCAACAATCGGTTCAGTCAGCCACACTGGAGCGCATGGACAATCTAAGTGTTGGTGGAGGAGGCGGCGGGTGCACTACATCATCTGTCACTGGCTACAAGGCCAAAGCTGTTGGCCACGCGGAATACGAGAATACGCACTCGGACAGCGATGGCTGCAATGGTTGGAGGGAACGCGATCGTTGCTCCAACACCTTGCCCACGCGCAAGCTGAAGAAGCGTATCGAGGCCGGCGCCAAGAGCATTGGGCCACAGAATACGCAAAACAGCAGCCAGCAGAGACCAAATGTCCAGCAGGTGTTTGCCAAACAGGAGCCAGCCGAGGAGGAGGAGGAAGAGGAAGAGCAGATGCAGGCACAACCACCAGCTGTCAATGGGGTGGAGAACAATGGCTACCAGGACTCCAACGGAGCTATTGCCAAGGGCCAGGAAGCTGCCGAATCGGAGGTCTATTTCGCAGATGTGAGCAGCTGCTGCAATGAGAACTACTATCATCAACCACATCAACAGCCTCACCAGCATCACCATCAGCACAGCAACTGTAGCAGTAATCAAAGCGGCAGCAACAACAACAACGAGGATTATCTAGCGCAACGTTTTGGCCGAAGGGAGCACTCGATCCGGAGTCGCTTGCCCATACCACAAGCACGACTCGAGGATGACTACGAGAGCTCCAATCTAAATATACCAACGCTCAAGAGCGCCGCCTTGGATCAGCAGCAACAGCAACTGCAGAAGGATATCTCTCGGCAAAGTATGTGCTCTGTGGAATCTGAGGCTAAAACGGAGTTCACAGATCTGTCGCCATCGACGCCTTGCGATGGTGGATTGCAGCAGCTGCCGCCGCCCCCTGCCAATTTTGCCAGCGATCCACCTGCCGCGCAGTCAACGACTGCCAACTTTGTGGCCTCGTTTCCCTACTCATCGGAATCGCAGTGTCTGGAGGCACATCGGCGCTCGACAAAAAATATACACGAGCTATTGCTGGCTGGGAATGGCACTAGCAACGATTCCATTCACGCTCCTGCCCACTATGAGATAATCAACGATCGCTATCAGCTGCAACGCTCGGCTGCCGGCAGCAGCAAGCAGCACAAATCCAAATCGAAGAGTCGTTCGAGAGAGCATTTGGAAATCTATGAAGGTAACCGTTGTCCGGGCGCCGAACGCACCGATTGGTCCGAAGGTAAACGTTTGTGAGACGAAATTGAAGTTTTCGTCTAGGTTTCATAAACAACACTCACACTCATACACACACGTCTACACTTTGCTGACTTGCTTATGATTTGTGAAATGATTGCCATCCAAAATGAAGTCGAATACAATTCTATTCGATCTCTACGTAAGCTTAGTATTTCTCTCCCACGCGCTCTATGTTCCATGTCTTCTATGTTCCTGCTTCCCGCGTTTAATCACATAGCTTCAATTGAGGCGAGCACACACCCACACATTCACAGTTAACTCTCTTGCCTATGATTTGTAAACAGATCCTGGCATATGCATACATATGTATGTATGTAATGTTTGCCATCCATAATGAACTCGAGTACAGATATTTTCGATCTCTAAATGAGCTCAATCTCTATCTCTCTTTCTCTCTTTACTTCTCTGTCTTTGGCCCGTTTTACACTAAGGTCCATGCGGCCATCAACTATGCTTTAACTTGACATTTTTACGTAGCACACAAGTACTTCTTATATAGTAAATAATATATCTATACATAAATCATATTGTAGTTTGTATTGAATGTTGACACTGTAGCATTGGTATTCTATGAAAATATTAAACAAATTATGTTGCTTACTTGTGTATTTAAATAGCTCACACAATCCGATACATAAATGCATATTTATACAAACACACACGAAAATATATATTATATATATATAAATAGTTRGTTAAACGTTAGATTGCAAGTTAAATTTATAACATAAAATGTACACATTAATAGTCTAATATGGCAGCTATTTTACAAAATAACAGTTAAAGTTGAATCGAAAAAGTCGATAAGCAACGAGGGCTGCAGCATAAGGTAGCGCACCTATCGATGTTTTGCGCACAAGTATCGAAGCGTGCTCAATTTGAAAATATATAAAATCATTTGTTTAAAATTAATAATATTGACATTTTATTATTTGGGGAACAAACATATAATAAAAACTAAGGCACCTGGTGGACTTTTCAATGTGTTAGACTGTGTAGCAATACGCAAACAGAGCTGAGCATTAAACTTACACTAATTAAAGATGCTGCGGCATTTTTGCCATGGGGTATTTCATTTTCGGAGTCATCTGGTATTACGACCTCATCGGCAGCCAATTCCTCTAGCGCAAGTGTGGTGGCCTCATTGATGGTTCGCAACAAAGGATAATTTTGATTTAGTCTTCTTGGTGCATTTTTCACATATTTAAAATCTGCATAGGTGTCCTCGTCCACTTCACATCTGCCAAGGAAGTCATCCGTGTCCACGGACCACACCATAACGCCGGCCAATCGCTTCATCATAGCAAACTTTACTTTATTAGCGATGGATCGTGAACTATCGAAGGAGACAACATTCACGTCCTGCGTGAAAACATTGCGCTCAGAGCGAGCAATCATTTGACTAGTTTCGGCGTCCCAGTTGGTTGTCCACCCGGAGGTCTTGTTGCTTAATATATCGCAGATTTCATTGTACCCTAGGAAACCATCCTCGCGTGTGAATGGACCACGAAAGCCAATGCCATCGCTGGCATCATTTACCTTGCCCTCAGCAGCAGTCTTAAACGTGCGTCCATAGAAGGGCAGACCCAAGACTAGCTTTGAGGGCGGAGCACCCAGCTTCAATAGATAGTCAATGGTAAATTGCTGCAAATAAACAATAATGACAATAAATATATATCTATATTAAAATGAATAACTCATTTGTATAGCTACCACACTCAATGGATCATCGGCTGGAGCTGTTAACGGTGCATTGTAACCAATTTTTTTGTCCCAGCTGCCATGGTAGTCGTAGCACATGATATGCAGGTAATCGAGATACCTCGATATTTGGCGCACATCGTAAGCTTGATCGATGACATTCTTAGCAGCTCCAATAGCCGAGCTTAAGAGCAGGCCATAATTATCGAATTCCTCTCGCAACGCCTTTGTCAGGGCGACGAAATTTTCGCGATCTTGTGGACTGCCACCGCGTTGCGTCGGATACTCCCAGTCCAAATCGAGGCCATCGAAATTGTATTTTCGCACAAAACCGGAAACCTGTTTCACGAAATGCTCGCGCTGTTGCGCATTGGCCACTAGCCTCGAATAGTTCTTCGAGCCCTCATTCCAGCCGCCAATGGCCAAGCTGACCTTCAGATGCGGATGGCTGCTCTTCAAGCTTGTTAAACGCTCATAGCCGCCCTTGCCATACTCCTCTTGCAAGTCCTGCCACGGATCTAAAACACAGATGTCGCATTGCTAATTTGCATATTGTGTTCGTATAAACAATAAATAATTATACTACCTAACGATTTGATGGACGCTTGGGTGATATCGAGACCCGCAAAGGCATACACGGCATGGGTGCAAAGGTTCGCATCGAAGTTCTCGATGGAATAGGCACCTTGGCCAGGTCTATAGACAGCCCAGGTGGATATGTAGCAAACAACCACCTTATTGTGTGTGGGTCCTGCAAGCATGAAAATAACAAATTGTTAAGTCTAGCCACCCTTTGTGGTCTACCGCAAAAGCACGCACCTGTCTTAGCCGCAACGGAAGCCAAAAATATGGCCAGCAAAAGCGACAGCAGCGCCTGCTTATAAACTCCACCTCCTCTCAGCAGCATTTCCAAGATCAACTGAAAAAAATATAAAAATCACAAATTGAGTGGGCGCAGCTTAAGCGAACTGCATGCATGCATATGTATAACTGTCAAGCTGTAAAGAAAATTGTAGCTAAGAAATACTTTTAATTAAGCTCAATTAAGTCGCCTTTTAATTGAGTCTCCCTCTGCAGCCAGCAGAAAAGTGAAAGGCAACGAGAATCTTGCATGCACTGGCTCTCCGAGTGAATCATCCGGGCAGAATCAAGATTTTATAATAAACTGGACAACTGTATTTATTAATGAGGTAAAAATAAGTGGCTTTTCGAGTTGACTTCTTTTAGCTTGCATTCGTTTATACCCCGCATTGAAGCGTTCAGAATGGGTAAATTGATTTTTATGGAAGAGGCTGTGAGCATAACTATTCTTTTAGTTATTTACAGGGTATTTGATAGTCTTCTAGACCATGCAACGTACAGTCTCTTCCTAATATTTATGAAGTTAACTTTAATAGATCTATTTACTCAAGTTCTCTAGGGTATGTGCTGGTCAACCACTAGCGAATATCTCACAATGCTCGTTTGTTTCTTTTTAGTACCGTATTCTTTTCTAGGGTATCTGACAGCCAATCCCTTGCGAGTATCCCACTCTCCCTTGCTTCTTCTACGCACTTGTATGGATATTTCACCATCCTGCCTGACTAGCCAATAAAACAAAAACAAATATTACAAGAACGTGGGCCGTGAAACCTGATTCTCAACTTTCGCTCGTGCACCCCTTAAAAATTCATCGAGGTGGAGTCTTATGGGCAGCCGGCATTAAATGCATACGAATCCAACCGAGTATGATTCATTCATTGCCGAGCCAAATGCTTAAGGTAACGGGTCAAACATTTTATGACATCTATAGAGAATAGGTGATTCGCCTCGCAGCTAGACAACAGCAAATTGCTATCAGTTTTATTTTCTTGAACAAAAAACATCAATTTGACTGCTGATAAGGGAAATACATGGCATAAATATGCACTTGCAAGAAACAACAAGGTAGAATTCATGATACGCCTTGTAATTTTTGTACGTTTCCTTTTGTTTTGACTGAAAACCGGAATCAGCTTCTTCACATTATCGAGGCACAGAAAAACAACAAGAGCAATAAAAGCCACAAAGCAACTGCGCGTATCATGCGAATGCGAAAACAAAATCGAAAACCGAGAGGAAAAAACCAGATCGCAACTCCAAGAGTACTGCGGAACTGCAAATTAATTCGCTCAACTTTTCGTTTGGAGTTGAAATGCGATGCGTAACGAAATTGAGAGGAGCAAACAAGATCACAAATCCAAGAACTTGAAATGAATTCGCTCAAATTTCTTCACTTGAGCTACGCCTGCGCCCCAGTCACGCATTAATATATGTATGTATGGATGTATGTATGTATATACATACATATGTACATATGTATGCATGTGCGTGGAAAGCTAATTAGCACTAAAAACAACTTCAACTTCAACTTTTAAGAGAAACACAGTCACTTGACTACGGCACTTGATATTCCGAAATGCTTGGGAGTAACGTGCACAGCATATTCAAGACGGAAGAAAACATTTTATATGTACACTTTATGTTTATGCATGTCTTAAATGATTGTATAAGATTTACGTACAATATAACTTTATTGCTGCAAGACGTTTTTTCTTATTTCTTACACTTCCAGACAAACGCGTCGTCCGCTGTGACACCGTTGCCGACGCGTTGTTACCAATAACTAAACTGCTCGAGCTGGCACAGCGGACTCATTGTGAATTCAAACTCAGACATAAAAACCAGTCAAGCCGAACTACCAGCCCAGCCAGAAGAGCGAGCTCTCAAGTCTAAGAGTCAAAGACTAACTTCGTACGCTCTGAATATTGAAGCAGTATTGAAGCAGAAGAGAGGAGAAGAGACAACTGCAAAGCGCATTAACATCACGCAAATTGTGAACAAGATATATAGATTATAAGCTGTTTTCATAGTGCGTTTTATTACGCTAATCAATGTAAAAGCATAAGTAAAAATTATTTTTATTCGAATTTATTTTGAATTTAGCACACACAAATACCATTTCATATTTGGCGCACTATGTACTTATCGATATTGATTAATAATACACATCGCTGTGGTATCGTAATCGTAATCGTAAATGAACTCCGTAATCCATCACTAGTTGCACAAAAATAAAATACGAAATAATATTTTTGTTTATAAAGCTAAGAACTTCAAAAATGATTGTACAAAATTTGTTATGAAGTTTTATTTGAATTTAGTACACCCGAAGAAAACAGAACAATACAAATAAAGTTGTCGTTGTCGATTAATTCTTGGACCAACTACTTACGCATCCCTGAGCTATCGTAGTTCTTGGTGTTGGCCATTTCCCATCACCGCTTAAAACATAAACAATCGTCTTAATTTCTGCTGCGTACACAAGAAAAATTGCAGGTGTTTAAGATAAATGCACATAATCCACACACTTAAATTGTATAATGGACGTTGAACCTGAGGAAGTGTGTGGTTCGGACTCGGCAACAGCCTGCAAGCGCCAAAAGCGTACCAACTCCAAAGATGAAGACGAATATGAAAATGGAGAAGAAGGAGCACCACAATCAGAAACGGCAACTGGATCAAAAGTGGATCCCATTTTGATTGGGTAAGTGAACTAGAAAATTATAGTTTTTTACTGACACATAATTAATCGATTTTTACACCGTCTGCAGCTATGAGGGAAACGAGACCAGCCCCAGCAAAAACAACAACAATAAGAATATGAATAATGAAATCGAATTTGAAGCAAGCAGCCAGGAACAGAAGCCGGATGAGCCGATAAAAACAGTCGAGAACTCAGCAAACGCTGCAGTCGACGAAACTTCAGGCGATGGGGCAGGAGCTGAGCGCAACAGTTCTCCATCGCGAGAGCTTCTCTGCTCAATCAATAACATGTTGCACAACTCTTCGGATGAAACACCGGCAGCTTCTGAGGTCTCTTGTCCTGATCCTTCACTGGTGACATCGACCAGGCGCAGTGTCGTTGATGATGAAGAAGATGCGTCGGCGAATACCGATTCCAATTTGCGTGTATTTCGTCGATCAGTACGACAACGTAATCGCACTTATCGCCACTCGGAAAACTTGGACGCTAGCAGTGACAGTGATCATCAGTCTAATGAAAACAACAACAGCGAGCTCAATAATACGGATGTGGATAACAATGGTGGTGATGAAATCGCCGATCATGCAGCACCTACGGATGATGAATCTCGTTCCCAGGGAGGTCACGATGAAAGTAGTTCGGGGTCGAGCGTTGCCTTTTGGAATCGCTATTACACATCCAGCAATGAGGAAAACGATTCCGTAAGTCAAGTAAAACTTCTCTTTAAATATTCTTTGAATGGCTCGACAATTTCTATTAATTGTACATCATATGTGCGTTGAAAAACTGCAATATACACATTGATAGACATTCGTTTTAATTGTCAAAGTAGTATCGAAATATTATAAAACAAAAGCATTCAGTCGTATTAGTAGAATTGCAAGCAATATCTCTATACGGATAGAATTATATATTATCATTTATAAACAAAATGTTTTTATACGTAAGTTGATTATAGATTATGGCGTATTTCTATTATCTTTCTTGTCTGCAGGATGATGAATACACTGAGGCGGCGGCGAATGTTGCCGATAAGGCCCAAGTAGAGGCTGCAGTGAACAAAGTCATGGGTAAACCGAAGCCCGCCTATAATTGGAACTTTGCCCAGGAGCTGATGCAAAGGGAGCATAACCTTTTCAATCGCATCGATTGGCGTGGTGGACAAACCTCATCGCAGAGCTTTGGCCAGGGCTACTACGCAACCAGACAGGTGGTTGAGCGAATGAAATTAGTGGATGCCTTGAACTTGCATCGTTGCTGTGTCAACTGCTTGAGCTTTAATCGCACGGGAGACATGATCTGCTCGGGCTCCGATGATCTGTACATCATTATTTGGGACTGGGCGAAGGGCAAAGCGCGCCACAACTTCAGATCGGGCCATAGTTTGAATATATTCCAAACCAAGTTCATTGATAGCGTCGGCTGCCTGGACATCGTCTCCTCCAGTCGTGATGGTCAAGTGAGACGCGCTGTAATCCCGCCATCCGGCAGCAGCAGCACCAAGACAACTCGACTCTATAACCACAATGATGCTGTGCATAAGTTGGTTGTCGTTCCACAGAGTCGTCATGAAATCATGAGCGCTGGAGAGGATGCTGCAGTAAAACACTTTGATCTGCGCAGCAATGAGTGTTCGACCATGCTGCGCTGCATCTCCAGCGAGGACAATAGACGTGTACGTCTCTTCAGCATTGCTCATCATCCCTATATGCCAGAGTTTTGTGTTAGCGGGTCCGATGACAAGCTGCGCGTCTATGACAAACGCAATTTGAACTCCAAACCTGTGCACGAAATGACGCCCGGGGACTTGAAAGATGTGAGATGTGTGCATCTTTAAAAGATCCAGTTAACTTATCAGTACTCTTTTTTTTTTAGGTAAAGATCACGCAGATTACCTGCGCTGTGTACAATCACAGCGGCAGCGAGATACTTGCTTCCTACAGCGATGCGGGCATTTATCTCTATGACAGTCGCAATTATAAGGAAGGCGAATTTCTCCACAGCTATGAAGGGCACATGTAACTATAATGTTAACAAATAGAAGGAGCAAAATCATATTCAATAATTCTTTTATCCACTAGTAATAGCCGCACCATTAAGGGTGTCAACTTCTTTGGCCCACACTCCGAATATATCATCAGCGGCAGTGATTGTGGCAACATTTTCTTCTGGGACAAAAACACCGAAGCAGTGATGAACTTTGTAAAAGGCGATCATGCGGGCGTAGTCAATTGTCTGGAACAGCATCCCTGGATGCCAGTGCTGGCGACATCTGGACTAGATCACAATGTCAAGATTTGGGCACCAAGTGGTCAACCAGAAGCTGTAAGTGGCTGGCATAGCATAGCACATTA